TTTGTATTTAACGATGGTCCGAATACATATGAAAATTATATATAGGGTTATGATTCCCAATTCATATGCAATTCTCATTTTTTTTGTCATCTCATCAATACAATACTTAATAGAAAAAACATATTGAAGAGAAATATCTAAAACCCACAATCAAGAATCAAGAAAAATAATTTGAGCAATTAAATTGAAGAACAAGAAATCAAGATTTAAAAATCAAAAATTCAAGATTCATTATTCAAGATACAAATCAATGGATCAAAATATGTTCCGCATTAAGCCCCCGTTTGGTGCACATTTTGAAGGTGAGAATGTATTTTTACTGTAGATGTGATGAGGAATATGTGGTTGAAAAAGAAGGAAAAGTTATTGATGTGATGAAAAATATTATTTTATTGAAGAATGTGTGGTTGAAAATGAGTACAAGAATGAGAATGAAAAAACAATGTGAACCAAACAGGGCCTAATTAATTTTCTTGGTGATTAGACATGTAGATCGTGACAATTCATAATACTTTTCATGATGGTTGAAAGTCATCGTAGAATACTTTTCACGTAATGGAAGACATGTTCCACTGTGGAATTTGAATGGAACTGTATATGCATGAGCTCCGCTTTGAGGAACATACTACCTATGGTAATTAAGAGAAATAGACCGATGTACCTATCTACAAAGGGACCACATGACCACATTCTAAGGCATGCATTAGGGGGTTGCCCTAAGATTCTTTTTGTGTCTTATTCTTGGTTTGAACCTATGTAATTGTACTTTTTGCATTCTTTTCGCTAAGATACTCTATTTAGCCCATATCGCCGGCTAACTTGTGTAACTTTAACATGCATGTCATAATCTTGATAACGTCCACATCCCTCTATTTAGCCCATATCGCCGGCTAACTTGTGTAACTTTAACATGCATGTCATAATCTTGATAACGTCCAAATCCAAATATGGCTGGCTGCATGAACACAAAAACCATAGTTAAAGTCAACTATCAAGATTTTCTTGAATATACTTAAAAAGAGTTTCAACTTTTCAATTGGAAATATACAATAGAAACAAGAAGATTGCATTTCAAGCCTAATTCCATTCAAGCAATGACAGTCCATTTAATTTATCGGTATGAATCTAACGATAAGATACGATTTTAGCAGGCCTAATAACCGTATACGTATTACTAAGGTAATAACATGTTTAATTGACCTAACCGTAACATGAGTTACTGATAAGGTAGATGGGATATCAGATATATAATTTTAATAAAATAAGTGTGTTTTATTCTTTGTTTAAACTTTTAGTAGGTGGTTCAAAGTGGCATGAGAAATAGTAAGACTTTAAATTCAACTTCCATCACCATGTATTTATAGAAAAAAATATGTGGGTAACGTAAAAGAGCACAATCGATCAAATCTTCTACTAGTACATACACGGCTTGAATATAAGTTATGGATCCTTCTTTGATAGAAGTAATTCTTTCTTGTTAAATGCTCCTGTTAATAACCAGGATATGTTGATAACTGTCATGAAATAATGCTTGAAACGAGAGATTCAATTAATCAAAATTCTGAATCGAAAAATCACATTGACGAATAGTTATGACATTTATAACACTGCAAATAGGAATCATTCACTTGTATTTGAAAAATTCTTCCTGTTGTTTTTCCTTTTCCATAATTAATCGAAGTCGTAGAGTCGTATCTATTTATTCACTCAGACACTTCTTTTGTACCATTTCAAGAATTTCAACAGGGTTATGGGGTAAATTAAAAGAAATGTTAAAGAGAAATTTAAATAAATATGTACTATACCTAATATCATAAGTTTTAAACTCGATATGATTCAACAATGTGTCCAGCTTAGTACTGTGTATCAACTAGGGTAAAAAACGTGAACATATACTATCCAAATAGGCAGTGAGTCATGACTGACTAAGTGGTACAGGTTTTCAACAAAATTCTGTAGCTATTGGGTCGGTCCAGCTTCGCCTCACGGGTGAAAACGGGTCGTCCGTGCTCGAGGGTCGATTCAGCTTCACCTCGTGTTAGTGTAGAGAGCTTGAAATCGCCGAACCACTTGCCATGTACGATGGTTGAGACCACGTGAGAGTCTTCGTGTAGAGAGGCGTAACAAGTATTGTGAAATGTTGAAATTTAAGGTCTCGTGAATTATTGTTTTTGGACATGAGTCATGACTACGACATCAGGTCATTGTTTGGTTTGGATTAAAATCCAATTAAAATATCAAGTCAAATTCATCAATTCATTTTAACAACACATTTTATGTGATCCACAACTTTTCAACCGTACATTTCATCAATTTCTATCAAAATCTACTAAAATTTTGAGTTTGATCCCCACCAAACAAGGGCTTGGAATATCTTGTTCAATTATTGTTTTTAAAGAATAGTAATGAGAAATGTTGAAATTTAAGGTTTGATCAGTCATTGTTTTTGGAGAAGAGTCATAACATAAGTAGTTGAATTATATTAAATGTGTTTCATTGATGAATGAAAGGTTCACTTGTAAGTAGGACCATATTTCAATTTGAAGCTAATTCCAATTAGCCGTATTTATAGAATGAGAAAAAGAATGCAAATGGCAATTTGTTAACATAACGGGCTTTTTAAACTCACTCAATATAAATTAGAGATTCTAATTTTTCGAACTAGAAAAATTTCTCATTTATGTTTTAATAGAGTAATATAACATTCTAAGCATTGAATTTGTTAAGTTTGTTTCTCTAATCTCGTACACTTCAAGATATTGAACATATCTTAAATAGTTAAATATAAATACAACTTACATTTAAATTATCTTGCTGTAAAAATTGACGATAAAATATATATACAACGGGATGATTGAAGGCCGTTGGATGACATGCATGTGGCCTCATCCCAATAACTGATATTTCTTGTCATAGACATCAATCCATCACATCCTTAAATGTTAATACCATCTTTATGTCCCTAAGGCCCAGTTTGCAGCCTTGGACTTGAGCAAATAGGTTGGCGGCAGCGGCGGCGTTGAATTGTTCTGTCAATTGCATAATACAAGATCTGGATCGAATCTCCCATGGGGTTCGCGTATAATACCCAGCCAGGTCGAAGCGGAGTGCAGTGAAAACGGGTCGTCCGTGCTCGAGGGTCGATTCAACTTCACCTCGTGTTAGTGTAGAGAGCTTGAAATCGTCGAACCACTTGCCATGTACGATGGTTGAGACCACGTGAGAGTCTTCGTGTGGAGAGGCGTAACAAGTATTGTGAAATGTTGAAATTTAAGGTCTCGTGAATTATTGTTTTTGGACATGAGTCATGACTACGACACCAGGTCATTGTTTGGTTTGGATTAAAATCCAATTAAAATATCAAGTCAAATTCATCAATTCATTTTAACAACACATTTTATGTGATCCACAACTTTTCAACCGTACATTTCATCAATTAAATAATTAAAGTTAAGGAAAAATTGGTTTATTATTACATTTTCCTTAAGTTTATTTATTACCATATCAAATAAATCTTGTATGATATGATTAAATTTTTACCTGCTTTTCGTTGTGTATGATTTTTGGTTAGATTTAATCTAATCTTGATTATTGCTTTAAGGAAAGATTGATTTAATATTTAACTTTCATTAAATCCATATATTACCATATCATAGAAGTCATGTGATATAATTATATACTTATCGTGTTATAATAATTTAATTTTGGGTAAGTTCAATTCGTACCTTGTAAATTATTTTACATAAGTAAAGCACAAAATCAAGAAACGAACGGCAGCTTTGGAAAGGTATTCGAGCAGTCGGTGGACTAGCAGCTACACGTTTTGCCATTCTCTAGCAAGTTCAACCAGCTACCTGCTTTATTGATTAATCTCATAGCAGAACAACCGTGAAAAATCTGTCAAGTTCGATGACCTAGTAGCCACACATTCTATCATCTTTTAGCAAAGACGATCATACTCATGCCTTATCGAATACTTTCAAAGCCTGCTTTGAGAAACCAGAATTCCCAACGGTGAACCTGCAACAACGAGTTCCACCATATTTCAGCAAGTTCACTCGGTGCCATGCATTATTGAATATCTTATAGCAAAATTGTGTTCTTCATCCGTACTTGAAGAAAACATATTACAGTGTGAATGTTCAATTTAATTCAAAGATCAAGTTGTTTGACATAAGTTAAGATTATGATTCTTAATCCAAGTAGTAGTTGCAACCGAGTACAATAGTGAAGAGGCAATAAAATCAAGATCGGAGGGTTACAACAAGTCAAAAGAAGAAGAAAACTGGAGAGCTATATTTAGATTTCTTTCATTGTTTTTTTGTTAATTTTACAAAATTACAAAATCAAGATTATTATATTTCTCATCGTTTGATTTAATTGATTAATTTACCCGTGACATAGGAGCCTGTAGATATTTCCCTTCAGAGTTTTTCACATTATACCTGATGGAGTTATTCCCTAAGTACAGAGAATAACTCACAGAATTTGTGCTGTGGCAGCATCCTGTGCATGTGTGTTTGTTTATTTTTTTTTGAACTTTGAATCTGTGTCGTCGATTTCAAATTTCTGTACAAATTTCCTAATCTTGTAGACCGATTTTACCTGGTCATACTTCTTAATTTCTACAATTGAGTAAATCACATAGAACACTATAATCTATCCACATGCTGCAGTGACCACTACTTTAATAACTGCTTGTAGGATATCCGAACTGCCTGACGTGTAATGTGAACTGGATAATTGAGACATAATTTTAATTAACTAGGTTTGTATTTACAGTAGTTACCAGAAGCGTTTTTACATCAAATATTATTATTTGACAGCATTTTCAATGCATAGTAGTGAAACAGAGAAAAACCGAAATTTGGGAGGGGCAAATCATTTCAAAAATACACCAAAGAATAAATAAATACATAGAATATATGGAAATCTGTCATATATATTAAGCCATGAACTCGTTTCACCATCTCCGAAGGTGCAGGTTTGATGTGTTTTGCTTAGGTTTTGGCCATTCTCTTTACTACATTTTCCAAGCTCTGCACAAAAGAATAAGATAAAATCACCAAAGTATCTGTACTACAAATTCTATTGAATAAATAATGATGATATCAATAGCTGAGTGAAATTATCGATTCCAAGGGTACCTTGAATCCATGGAAATGTCAATTCATACACTTTGTATTCTCCTATGAACTTAAAGCAAAAATAAATACAAATATTGTTCAAAAGAAAACAATAATTTTTGAAAGAATAGATATGACCTTTCTCTTCGTAGTTAAAACTCGTACAACCAAATAGCTTGAGGATTGAATCCAGACGATTAAAGAAGTAAAAACACGAAAGTACTTTTGGAACTTGCTCGATGCCAGTGTACTCGGCCAAGACATGCTCGTACTGGTTTTACAATATAGATAGATGTTGGATGCATAAATGTTCTAAAGATTCTTTCCGATACCATAGCATTTGCATGACAAGTTTAAGGGATAGAAACGAGCTTCAAGGCAAAATCTTATTTGAAACACCTGCGCTTAAGTTTTCTTAATTGAAAATTTGGAGTAAGCATCAGTTAATACTTGAATTTTAGCACATTACAC